GGCTGGGGGCCACCATGTGGCCTTGGGGGTGGGGGTGGGGGTGGGGGAGACGGGCAGAAAGGAGAGGGCACTCACCCCACGGGGGCAGAGGAGTCTCGGTCCCCGCGGCAGCACAGGGGGTCCTGGTCCTTGATGGACTCAACTGCGCTCAGCACCCCATTCTTCAGGGGCTTCCGCTCTGGGGCCCGGGGGTCTGTACCCCTCTCCTGCCCAGCCTTCTGGCCGCCGTCCTCCCAGTCACTGGGCATGGCCTGGCCACAGGCCGGTGGAAGGTGTCGGGGCAGGAGTGGCTCTTCCTCAGGCCGTTTCATGGGAGCCCAGGGGTGGGCTCACATGTTCTTGCATCATAACCAGCCCCTGGGAGCTATTGTGAGGTCTGAGCCCTGGCTGAGTGGCTCAGAGCCGCCACCAGCTTCCAGAGGGAGGTGCCCTGTGGGTTCCCTTATCGTTACATAACCGCTTCCTGGGCCCGTCTGGCGTGGAGACGGCGCCAGGCAAATCCACCTGTGGTCCTGCTGGTCCCACGGTGCCCACAGCGGCAGGAGCCAGCGCGATGGGCAGCTCCCTGTGTCTGCAAGGCTGCCTCCTGCCTGTCGGGCCTCCTGAAACCCGGGTACAAACAGAACAGGAGAGCCCGGCCGTGCCGCTCAGCGGTGCAGCCAGCCCCCGGGCGCCCAGCAGAAACCAGGAGGACCACCTGGCAGAGCCCAGCCTGCATCGCTGACCCAGAATGACAAGCTAAATTAACAACCCCTGTTTTAAGCCGCTACTTTTCGGGGTGATTTGTTTCAGCTGATACTGGCCCTGGGCAGGAGGTGGGACCAAGAGCCAGGAGCGGCCTGAAACCAGGAAGCCTTAGCAGGTGGGTCTTTGGTTGAGGGTCTCCCCCGCCCCCAGGAGATGGGTCCCCCAAAAAGACGGGGTGGGGGAGGCTCCTGGACAGGCAGAGCTGTGAGAACGGCCGGGGACACTGGGTGCCCTGAGGGGAATCAATAAAGCTTTAATGCTGGTGAGACGCAGTCTTGCCCGGGGGCTCTCCCCAGACACCCTCCTGTTCGGCGTGGTGGCTGGCATGGGCCATGTCGCGGGGGTGGAGGCCTCGCGAGACGAAGTCCTGGTTCATGAGCAAGAGGTCCCCCGGGAAGTCCGCCAAGCGGAAGAGGCTGCGGTTGGTGAAGCCGGCGATGGACCGCTCCGCTTTCTTGGTGGCAAAGAACGGCTTCAGCTCGTTGGGCTGGTAGGTGGGCGGTTTGGGGGGCTCTTTGGACTTGAAAATGACACTCATTTTGATCTCTTGTCTTTGTGCGGTGGTGTCCTTGCTCTCCCCAG